ATAATACTTGAAAGAGTCAAGTGCCCATTTAATGGCCAAGGCTTCCTTCTCAACCGTTGAGTAGCGGCTCTCCCTTGGTAGCAGCTTACAGCTCATGTAGGCGACAGGATGTCGATCCTCTGGTGGTCCCTGCAGAAGCACTGCTCCCAGACCCCTTTTAGAAGCATCAGTCTGCAAAGTAAAGTCTTTTGTAAAATCTGGTGAGTGCAGAATGGGGTCCTTACTCAGGGACTGGCGAATGTCTTTGAAAGCTGCAATGGCTTCAACTGTCCACCGAATCTTATTAGGACATCTTGAGGCAGTTCTGTCCTTCCGTGGGGCTGCTCTCGCTGAGAAGTTGAGATTAGTTAAATCAATGAGGAAGTTACAGTTTTTGCTTTAACAGTTTTTAATGGAAAGACTTCAGGATATCTTGTAGTGTAGTCTGTGATGACTAGCATAAAACGATTTCCAGTTTTACTCTTTTCCACAGGACCAACTATGTCCATGCCAAGACACTTAAATGGTATACCAATGATTGGGAGAGGTTGGAGTGGTGCTTTGGTGGGGACCCTAATTGAAGTCTTTTGACACTGAGGACAACTCCTGCAAAACATAGCAACATCTGAGCGCAAACCAGGCCAAAAAAAGTATCGCTTAATACGAGCGGTGGTCTTATGCTTCCCTAGGTGGCCAGCCCAGGGAATGGAGTGCCCCAAAGTAAGCACTGTTTCACGAGTCGCTTTAGTGACCACTAACTGCTTAACCTGGCCATGCTGGTGGTATAAAATGCCATCTTGCAGAATGAACTGCTCTTTATTTGTGTCAGATTCAACAGAGTCCTTCTCCTTAGCCCTCAGCAACATGGCAGACAAAGTTGGATCAGCCTGCTGCATTTGTCTGATGTTTGTAGGTACTGAAAAACCTAAAGGCATATCTGGAGCAGCCTGAACTGATGTCTTTCCAACAGTGTGTTGAAATTTTGACTTTGACTGCGTGGCTTCCGAGACTTCCCGGGTTCTGTCTCTAGTTCAGCCTCAAAGAAGGGTAGAGCACTCAGGGTTCCATAATGCTCATCCTGATTTTTAGTTTGAGCCCTTGTTATAGCAACATTACACTCCTGTACTTCCCTCAACAGATCATAGATGACTGGCAGGTCCTCCCCAAGAACTACAGGATAGGGCAGATTACCAACCTTTAACAGATAGGGTGTCCCCTGCACTTCAATAAACAGATCAGCAGTAGGGTATGGTCTTTCACCACCATGTATACAGCAAACTGATATGGTTTCAGAGGGGCATGTGTAGTCATTTGACACATATTTCCTGTGTAACAGAGTCTGTGTGCTGCCAGTATCTATTAAAGCATTCATTTCTTGTCCATTAATCTTAACTGTGGTGATTTTATTTGACTGCTTTCTCTCAGATTTAATATCCACATTCTGATGAGGCACAAAACACATCTGGGATAATTTGCTTTGATTATTAGGACACATGGGCTTAGTGTGACCTTCCTGTCCACAAATGTGGCCTTTTACCTGGCTTCGAGGTTTTCAAAGGCTGGTTTTCCCT